TTCCTCTTATTTCGATGTTAGTTGTGACAACAGCGACAATGATAAAAAATAAGTAATACAAATATTGTTAAAAAGCTTTCTAAAAAAACGTAGCAATATGATTTTTTCATAAAACAACTATTAGAATATTGTTTGATTGCTCGATTTTATATTATTTTAAATCACAAAACATCAAATTAATAAATATGTTATTTCAATTTCACGGAAGAAATACGTCAAGTAATGAGGATATGATGATGATATGACTTCTTATGTCCTAGACATAATAAAGGACATAAGAAGTCATACAACAAATAATTATTTAATTTACTTTTAAATATGTCAGATTCATTAAAAACTGTTGAAGTTAAAAAAGTTATTAAATTGCCATTCGATTTTAAGCTTAAAATATCAAAAATAAATATATGGCTCTGATTGCTCTGTTATACTTAATTTTATTTTACATGCATTTCTGGAGGTGAAATTTGTGTAACAATAGGGGCCTGTTTTATCACCCTTTATACTTCATGCAACTTTCACGATATATTCATAATTATCCGGTAAAATAGATGATATAGACATGGTACAACCCGACTAATGGTTAAATGTAATTATCAATATTAATTCCTTATTATTTAGCTGTTATGACAATGTAAATTTGTCATTATCTCCACGCCATAATTATATTATTCTATTCTAATGATAATTTTGGACGCACTCCCGTACTACATACAAGCATAATTGCCAGCTGGTTTTTTAGTTCATTTGTTTTAAATATGTTCAACGGGCCTCTGTGAGTTGGCGTTAAACCCTTGTATTTGCCTTTTTAAGGTTTGAGACTCGTTTTGACTCGGTCAAAAAACGTATCTCGCTGTCTTTTAAAGGTTTACCTTTCACCACTTACTTACTTAAAAACCAACCTTTCATTCTCCTGCTCCAGGCTGAGGACCTAGGTAGCTTATTATGCTTGCCCTGCAACCCCGACTGAAGATCGGCAGACCATTACCATTACCATTTCTCAGGAATGAAACTGGAAGGGAGAGACTATATACCATTGTATTAGTTGTTTATTTTTATCCTCACAGTAAATGTAAGATAATTTTAAATCATTTAGGACCTAACAACACCATTCGAGATCAAAAGTTCGAAATAAGTAAAAGAATAATAAAAACAAAACTCACTTTACCCAATTGCATTGTCATGATAAACAAAATTGAATTTAAAGGCACCATAATTATGGTTTCATTTCCTTAACGGCATGACTGTTGAATGTCACGGAATAGCGCGAAGCGATGTCGCACCCGACACAAATTAGGAATTTTCCTCTTATTTCGATGTTAGTTGTGACAACAGCGACAATGATAAAAAATAAGTAATACAAATATTGTTAAAAAGCTTTCTAAAAAAACGTAGCAATATGATTTTTTCATAAAACAACTATTAGAATATTGTTTGATTGCTCGATTTTATATTATTTTAAATTCACAATTTTTTAGTTCTCTTTTTAAACTGTTTTTACTTACTTATAGTTATATATTATTAGTTCTTTTATACACGAAGAAAAAATGTTTTGAATCGGTTAGGTACAAACATTCGTCACAAAGTTTCATGTCTAATAATGGTGACTTCAACTATTACCTACATGGGTAAGGAAAGTAATAATAACTCAAACTATTCTAAGACATTTTTCCGGAACAATTTTAGTTGGAAAACTTTATTTGAACGACACGCGTGTCGAAAGTCGCCAACTAAAATAATTTCTTCGTAAAAGCTGCCAAAAGTTACAAACACCTGTCTGGGGCGACATTAGCATCGCATTACATTCGCATAAATGTTACACATTAACTCGTTTGTACCCTTTATGACGTGCACATTTACCCACACACCTAAATTAGATAGAATTTCAGCTCCCCTGCCGCAGATACGACCCTTTTATTTCACCACTTTAGCAAGAAGTTGATAAAAATCTATCGTGTGGGCTCGTTGACAAGCCGCCAGGCTGGAGGCGCGCCAGGGCATACCACGATGCAGTTTTTTATACACGCACCAAAATTCCTAGGCGAAGTGTACTTCGTTTTAATTTACCCATTTTGGCACGTCCCAACGGAACTGCGGATCATTTGTATTAGGAATACGGATAATATGATCCGAGAGGCGACGACTAAATTACTCGACGCCCCTCGAGAGTTAGTCGTTTGCGTTATTATGAGCCTTCGCGAAAGCCTTTAGTTCCCTCTGTAAACATAAAGCTACGGGTGTATTTCGGAAAAATAATTATACAGTATGAATAAATTATCTTTATCGTCGATTCATGTTGAAATATTCTGTACGATAGGTACGTGTTGTGACTTTCATTTTTACTTGGAAATTCTATCGTGGAATTGCACAAAAATATCTGCAGCGAGATTGACTTCGATATTTTTTGGAATATCGATACTTCGTAAATTAAACATCAAATTAATAAATATGTTATTTCAATTTCACGGAAGAAATACGTCAAGTAATGAGGATATGATGATGATATGACTTCTTATGTCCTAGACATAATAAAGGACATAAGAAGTCATACAACAAATAATTATTTAATTTACTTTTAAATATGTCAGATTCATTAAAAACTGTTGAAGTTAAAAAAGTTATTAAATTGCCATTCGATTTTAAGCTTAAAATATCAAAAATAAATATATGGCTCTGATTGCTCTGTTATACTTAATTTTATTTTACATGCATTTCTGGAGGTGAAATTTGTGTAACAATAGGGGCCTGTTTTATCACCCTTTATACTTCATGCAACTTTCACGATATATTCATAATTATCCGGTAAAATAGATGATATAGACATGGTACAACCCGACTAATGGTTAAATGTAATTATCAATATTAATTCCTTATTATTTAGCTGTTATGACAATGTAAATTTGTCATTATCTCCACGCCATAATTATATTATTCTATTCTAATGATAATTTTGGACGCACTCCCGTACTACATACAAGCATAATTGCCAGCTGGTTTTTTAGTTCATTTGTTTTAAATATGTTCAACGGGCCTCTGTGAGTTGGCGTTAAACCCTTGTATTTGCCTTTTTAAGGTTTGAGACTCGTTTTGACTCGGTCAAAAAACGTATCTCGCTGTCTTTTAAAGGTTTACCTTTCACCACTTACTTACTTAAAAACCAACCTTTCATTCTCCTGCTCCAGGCTGAGGACCTAGGTAGCTTATTATGCTTGCCCTGCAACCCCGACTGAAGATCGGCCCTGTCTGACCCTATTCGAACGTTCAGGATCCTTTTTTTGTAGGGTGTGTAGTACTTCTCCCACCCAGGGTAGGGCGGGAGATCATCTCTCGATCCCCGACGCCCAGAATGTCGCCTTCTGCGGTGGCTGGGGCGCCAGGAGGATAGTTCCGTCACGCGCTCCGCCTTTGCGAGCATCACTGCTTCGCAGAAAGAGGAGACGGCTTCCCAGTTCCTCACATTACGAACCATGGCCTCGAAGGCCGACGCGGCGGAGCTCATCCCAAGCAGGGCACTCCACCACCGTATGCTCCACCGTGTCCTCTAGGTGGTCCTCCCGCTTGATCCGAAACAGGAACCTACCGAAGCTGCCGTGCCCGGTAAGCAGCTGCGTCAGACGGAAGGTGAGGACGCCGTGACGTATCTCAAGCCACTCCTCAAAGAGGGGTTTTACCAAGATCCAAAAAATCTGGCTATTATGAAATAAGGGAAACGTTAGCTAAAACAACATTGTTTTATATTACAATATATCTACAATGCAATTCATGTATAATAGTCTTTATGAACCAATTACTCAGTTTTACTGCGGTATGACTCATGCAATGTGCAAAAAATAACAGCTTGCGTGCATAAAAAAGGTTTCCACCTGCGTCGTAACACGCGGTCCCTCTTGGGAACAACTGTCGGCTGTCATGGCGCCTATGTTACTGGATCTGATAAAAAACAGATTAAAAAGAAATTATACTGGCTCAGCAGCATTTTGATTACCAAAGGAGCACTTACGAAAATCTCTATTATGTTTATTGCGAAATATTTGTGTAAAGAAAGAAATCAATGGTCTTATTTGATCGTTTCTAAAGCTTCTTGCTAAGCTTAAAAAAGAACAGAATACTGAGAAGTATACTAGCGTTCTATATTTATAAATACCGGTATCTTCGTTACTCAATGCGTTACTTTTCACACGCTCTGTTCATTACTGTAAGCTCCACGCGTAGCTTGAAACTCGGCGAGTTACCTCGTCGAACATTACGCCGACATGAGTACTGTACCAGACAATATCATAATATTGTGACGGAAAAGTCGTTCAAACTCTTTGACATCATGACGTCAATGGATGGTTGTCAAACGTTGCCTAGAGATTGTAAATTTCGTCGTGAATTGTCAACACGAGTTGGTGTAATCGGTAAGGCGTGTGGATTACACCACAGAGACCCCGAGTTCGAGTCCCGCCGTAAACATGAAGTTTTTTAGTTGATAGAAGTTTTGTGGAACTTTCTGGAATTATTTGTGTGAAAGAAATGAAAAATTAAAGAGCGAGAAGGAGAATAAACAAAAATGAGTAACGAAATTATTGGAAGGTTCTGGAGTCATGACGATCAAAAAGAATAACGAAATTGAATGTTCCAGAACCTGAACCAGGGGTATATAAGCGGAACTGCGGCTCACCGCTGGCAGTTGAGTTCTAAGTCTAAAGCGATTCGGAAGAAAAGGAAGAAGTGAAAAAGAAGAAAAGTGAGTGAAATAGTGAAGTGCAGTGAAATAGTGAAGTGCAGTCAGTTAAGTGAGTTAAGTCAGCGTGAACGGCAAAGTTGTGTCAGTCGGCCGGACTCTGCTGGAGAGGAACGCCGATAACTTAACTCCGTGGACGCTGTAACTTAAGTGCAATAGAAAGTCTGAAAACGGTATTAGTGTTTCATTTCATCCAATCCCGTAACTCAAGCCCGCATAGTCAGGAACGTGACGTCAGGCACGTAACATTTGGTGTCAGAAGTGGGATTGGAGAAAAATGCCGCTAGTGCCGCAGGACGTAAGAGGAGTGAGTACCCGTTCAATGTCAGAAGCGCAGCGTGTGAGGGAAGAGGGTGCTGCAGCTCGAACCAGCGATGCAGAAGCCAAGCCTGTGCAGGTGGATCTTCTGCTACAGCTGCAGCAAATGATGGCAGAGCAAGCGCGCCGCCAAGAAGAGCAAGCGCGCCGCCAAGAAGAGCAAGCGCGCCGCCAAGAAGAGCAAGCGCGCCGTCAGGCAGAACAGCTGCGGGAGCTTAAAGAAGAGCAAGCGCGCCGCCAAGAAGAGCAAGCGCGCCGCCAAGAAGAGCAAGCGCGCCGCCAAGAAGAGCAAGCGCGCCGCCAAGAAGAGCAAGCACGCTGTCAGGCAGAACAGCTTCGGGAGCTGAAAGAAGATCAAGCTCGTCGCCAAGAGGATCAAGCTCGCCGCCAAGAGGAGCAAGCGCGTCGCTTGGAAGAGATGCATAAGGATTTTACGAAGGGACTGCAAAAGGCTGTCGAACGGGTACAAGAAGTGGAGGAAGGGTTAGGCAAGTTGGAACATCGCGTCATGGCGATAGAGGAGAGAGTGGAAGAGATCTCCAAAATCAAGCAGGAAGTGGCAAGCCCAAGCCCTTTGAAGAGCCGAAGCCGTCTTGCAGCCGTTTTTGACACCCCAAATGTGGCCTCTAGCGCAACGAAAGGCCTCAAGATTCCCCATTACGACGGAACAACATCCTGGACCGCGTTCAAGCTACAGTTTGAGACACTTATGGAGGCTTATGGTTGGACTCAGAAGGAAGCACAGTCAGCCCTCACCCTGGCCCTCCGTGATCAAGCGCTTTCAGTGCTGGAAGCTATCGGCGCAAGTGGGGATCTCAGCTTTAGTGCCCTCCTCGACGCACTGGAGGCACGTTTTGGAGACAGCCACCTCGAGCACGTGTACAGAGCGCAATTAAAAGAGCGTACTCAGCGTGCTAATGAGAGTCTACAGCAATGGTCCGTGGAAATCGAGAAACTTGTGCGTCGAGCTTTCCTGTCGACTCCGTCAATGATTGAAGGCACGCTTCTCCAAGCATTCATTGACGGTGTTCGGGACCCCGAAGTACGAGCTGCTGTTCATCTGGGCCATCACAAGAACATGAAAGAAGCTCTGGCCCATGCATTGGAAGTGGAAGCCGTGCGTGGTAACTCCCGTACCTTACGTCTGCGGGAAATGACGACAACGGAGCAGGTACCTCCACGCCGTCGGAACTTCATGTGCTATGGATGCGGAGAGCGTGGGCACATGCGGAGCGACTGCCCGAAGAAGGCGGACCGCCAGGACGCGGCGGTCTCAACTTCTGACCAGCAGGAAAACTAAATCCAGCCAGGGCTGCGGGGTGGGCGCTGGCCGGTAGTGGAATAACCCCAACAATCTACATCAAGCAAACTAACGATGGAAATACTCTGGTGATAGACGGTCAAGTAAATGGGAAAAAAAGTCAGCTAACGTTAGATACTGGAGCTTCAAGGACGGTGATGAATGTTCGGCTGCTCGGGCAAAACATCAGGAAACACCTTAAACCAATTGTTGGCCTACGAATGAAATCAGCTACCGGCCAGTGCATACCGATAAGTGGAAAACTGCATGTAACAATCAAAATTGGGGAACGTGTTTATCGACATGAGGTTATTGTGGCCAAAATTCTGGATGACTGCATCCTGGGACTTGACTTCCTGCAAGGGCACCAGTGTAACATCGACTTAAAATCTGGAGTTTTAATATGTGGAACTGAGGAAATTCCGATGAAGGGTGGAACCCTGGGAAAAGTTTGCTGTTTAAGAAGAACTGTTCTTGCACCAAAATCACAGACTCTGGTACCAATTGCATTACCTAGGAGGAGGGAAGGAAGTTTGCCTCGAAGGTGCGCTGTGATTGATAAATCGGAACACGTAAACTCATGGCTACCGGCAAGAACTGTCGTGGGGTCATCTGATGTCAACCGCATTCCGGTATTCAACTTCAGTGATTCAAAAATTACGATTGAAGAAGGAGAGCCTGTGGGCGTATTGGAAGAAGTGGCCTGGATAAGAAAATGCTCGGAAAATCTTGTGAAGAAGGACAGTACGGGAATAGACTTTGTAACGAAAATCTTAGACGAAAACAAAAGTCTGACAAAAGTGGAGACTATGAAAGCTAGAAATTTACTTCTTCGATTCTCTGATGTGTTTTCAAGAAGCGATGGTGATATTGGCCGAACTGGTTTGGTGAAGCATAAAATAAACACAGGTGATACAATGCCAATTCGTCAAAGGCCCAGACGCATACCATTCGCTCGTGAGAAAGAGGTTGAAGAAATGATTGACGATATGAGGAAAAATGACGTGATAGAGCCCTCTTCTAGCCCTTGGTGTTCACCTGTCGTGCTTGTCAAGAAGAAAGATGGTTCAACGAGGTTTTGCGTAGACTATCGACGATTGAATGATGTAACCAAGAAGGATAGCTACCCGTTACCAAGAATCGATGACACACTTGACACACTGAGTGGCATGAAATGGTTTTCAACGCTCGATCTGAAAAGCGGCTATTGGCAGGTGGATTTGGATCCCAAGGACAAGGAAAAGACCGCATTCTCAACTGGGAAGGGACTCTGGCAATTTAAGGTGATGCCATTTGGATTATGCAATGCACCGGCAACCTTTGAGCGTTTGATGGAACAGGTGCTGGCGGGACTGCTGGGCGAAACCTGCCTAGTTTACCTCGATGACATCATCATTGTTGGACGGGATTTTGACGATCATCTAAGAAAATTGGAAAGGGTACTCGAAAAGCTGCGTGGAGCAAATTTGAAGTTGAGTCCAAAGAAATGCTCTTTCTTTAAGCGCGAAGTGAATTATCTAGGACATGTTATTTCTGAGAGAGGAATTGAGACTGATCCAGCCAAGACTGCCGCTGTTAAGGAATGGCCAACACCTACAGACAAAACGCAAGTTCGGGCATTTCTTGGATTATGCTCGTATTATCGGCGGTTTGTGAAAGGATTCTCGGACATTGCCAAGCCATTGCATCGATTGACAGAGGAGAAACGTGCCTTTATATGGGACGAAGATTGTGAGCAAGCCTTTCGCGAACTAAAAGAACGGCTTTGTAAAACGCCAATTCTCGGATACCCCAGCGCGAAAGGAATATTCGTAGTTGATACGGACGCCAGTAATATCGGAATAGGAGGTGTCCTTTCACAACGCGATGGTGAGCAGGAGAAGGTTATTGCTTACTTCAGCAAGTCACTATCCAAGCCGGAGAGGAATTATTGCGTGACCAGGAGGGAATTGCTGGCCGTAGTCGAAACTCTGCACCATTTCAAGAAGTATTTACTGGGACGGAAATTTTTGATCAGAACTGATCACGCTGCTTTGAAATGGCTGCTTCAGTTTAAGGATCCCGAAGGCCAAGTAGCCAGATGGTTGGAACAACTTCAGGAATTTGACTTTGAAATCGAACATCGCGGCGGAAGAATTCATGGCAACGCAGATGCATTATCGAGACGCCCATGCGTGGAAGATTGCAAGCATTGTGCTAAGAAGGAAATTGCTTTTCTTAAGGTGATAAGGACTGATACTGTTGACGAGGCATGGGGAGATGATGCGATGAAATTAGAACAGGAAAGAGATGCGGATATCAAACCAATACTGGAGTGGCTACGAAGTGGTAACAAGCCAAGTTGGAGTGACGTCGCCCAATATAGCGCGGTAACGAAAGGTTTATGGGCACAGTGGAAAAGCCTTACGCTGTGTACGAGCCAATTATGCTCATACAGCAAAAGTACGTTTTGCGCACGTAATGAATTACGCTAAACGTACTTTATTAATTCTATTATAATATAAATTTAGTCGTCACTAAAACTCAGCCACGAGCGGGTCGATCAATAATAACGTTGCATCAAGTGCGGCTCAGATAACTAAACATACGTAACTTAAACGTAATTAAACTATTGAACATAACAGTGGTTTGGTGTGAACTTACTACTTTCCTACAACTACCGGGGTATCTCTCAACGACTAGAAAACCCCAACATCTTTTTGGTCCTTCGAGCAACGAGTTCACGCGGCATACCAACCAGTAAGTCGTCGTGTCTCCACATCAACAGAGTGCTAAGTGAGGTATATCCCACTTACGTTAGCAAATCGGTGTTACTGGCCTCCCACAAGCGGGTCTCACCAGTAGCATTGAGACGTTGCACATAACGTAAAGGAGGGTGAGCTTCACTGAGTGCCTGTACCTAACGAACCAGCAGAGAAGACGTCTACTGCTACAACTTCAACTTAACAATCGGCGGAGATTACATCTACTGCTTCAACTAAGAAATAATCAGCGAGGATAACGTCCTGCGGTTACTTCAACTTCGTGAGTACTCACTTACTACACGCCATCCACAAACAGCCACAAGGCAGAAACAATGTCGACAGAAGACTACCCTGAATTCGTTGAACTTATAACGAAACAGCAAAACAACTACCGGGGTATCTCTCAACGACTAGAAAACCCCAACATCTTTTTGGTTGGAGTCCGCGTAATTAAGGGAACGACAAGGACTATGAAGCAAAATTCGACCATTGGGAGCAAGTCTACGACAACCTAAAGGAAGAGCTAAATAGAAAAATCTTTGAGACATCCCACTATGAAAAAACAACACCACGTATGGAATTACCGGAGTTCAACGGTACTTTCAATAACTGGATCTCCTTCAGGGATTTATTCTTTGAGATGATTCATAACAATCCAACGCTGAACAAAACGCAGAAAATGAAGTTCCTAAAGTCTAAATTGAAAGGCGAGGCGGAAAAGTTAATCAAGCACCTTCCTGTGAGTGCTGAGAATTATGACTCGTGTCTTAATATTATTCAGCACCGCTACGACAACAAGCGGTTAATTTTCACCTCCTACATAGAAACCCTTCTCAATCAAGCGTCCATCGAAAAGCCAAACTCTACTAACATGAAGAAGCTGTATGACACAACGAAAGAGTGTTTAAACGGCCTAGAAAACATAGACGTTAATATCCCAGTATGGGGCCCACTTATCGTCTATCTACTATCCTCAAAATTGGATGACGTCACTTACGGTGACTACATAAAAACTATGAAACATTCAAGAGAGCTCCCAGACTTAGAAGAGTTTATGGAGTTCCTGGAATTGCAGTTCATAACTCTAGAAACATCCCGTAATAAGAAGAATGGCGGGAAACAAAACTACTCATCAAACAACCAACATAAAAATTATAACTACAACAAGTCAACGAACTTTAAAGACGCAGAAAAGTGTATAAAAACCTTCCATGCAACGCTGAGGAAATGTCCACTGTGCAAAAATGAACACAAGCTGATGCAATGTCCTACATTCATGGACATGGATGTCGCAACGCGAAACAAAACAACAAGAAATCTAAACTTATGCAAAAATTGCTTGTTTAGTCACGGCGGAAGTAAATGCAACTCAACGAAAAAATGCCGCACGTGTAACTACAGACATCACTCTCTTCTCCATGATGACAATCTGAAAGGGCAACAATCAACGCCAACAACATCAACGGCAGCTGAGCGGACATCTAATCACATTAATGGTGAACAAGAGATACTCCTAACGACTATTCAATTACGGGTCAAAAACAAGGAAGGAGATTACGTCATCCTTCGGGCGTTACTGGATCAAGGCTCTCAAGTAAGCTTGGTCACAGAAAATGCTGCTCAACGGTTGAACTTACCCCGTAATAAAATGAACGCTGCTGTCACTGGTATTGGCACTATAATGGGCAAAAGTAAAGGGATGATAAAACTGGAATGCAAGTCTATTCATTCTGATTATACATTCCTAACAGAGGCATTAGTGATGAGTAAACTCATCAACAATTTGCCAAACTCAACGATCAACACAGAGAACTGGACACATCTTCACAATATCGAGTTAGCTGATCCAGACTACAACGTCTCTGGACCCATAGATTTACTGCTGGGAGCAGATATTTACTCTGATGTGATTTTAGCAGGAATAATTAAGCATAACAACGGTTCGCCAGTAGCACAACAGACAAAGTTGGGCTGGATACTGAGCGGAGCTACCAAGCAGTTTAACTGTCTAGTAACGCTGACAGAGCTAGACAATCTAACAAAATTTTGGGAAATAGAAGACATCCCTTCGGAGTCCGAAAACACTGCGGAAGACGAATTCTGTGAGAAATATTACACAGAAACAACCCAACGATTGAGCAACGGGCGTTATGTGGTGAAAATGCCTATGCGTTCTAACTACGAACAAAACCTGGGTAACTCGAAACCGCAAGCTACAGCACAATTTCTTCATTTAGAAAAGAAAATGGCGAGGCA